GGGGGGGGGGCCCATACCTGCCTGCCTTCACTTCCCCCTCCTCCCCACAGGTAGACGCCAGCCCCCACCAGGTGGTCTGGAGGGAGTAGGGCTGTAGCCGGGGCCCGGTGGCCAGCCATCAGCTGGAAGAACCCAAAAGTACCAACTTAGCACCCCCCAGGGCCCCTGCCCTTTCTTTCCCGAGGTCTCCCCCGTTTGCTCACTAGTTCTCACCTTGCCTCCCCCTTCTTCTGTGCCCTCTGAGGGCATCTATGAGCCCTTAGTTCTGCAGTGACTGGGGAGGGAGGCTGGCTGGAAACCCAGGTCCAGGGGCCCACTCTGAGACCCCACTACCTGGGCCCAGCCGCTGGCTGTGCGTAGGGCCACCCATGCAGGAGGATGCGTTGTCTTCCCCACTGAGGACTGTGCTCTAGCCCTGAGCCCCTGCTCCACATACACAGGGCACACACGTGCAGGAGTGGCCACGCTTGCGCAGCTCAGTGGCTGCTACAGCCAGACCCCACGCAAACCTAACCCACTGCTGTCAAGTCGATTCCTACTCATAGCGACCCTATAGGACAGAGCACAACTGCCCCATAGGGTTTCTGGAGCAACAGGTGGATTCAAGCTGCTGACCTTTTGGTCAGCAGCCAAACTCTTAACTACTGCACCACCAGGGCTCCAGGGCCAGACCTGTACACCAAAAAAAGGAACTTTCCCTCCAGCGCTGGCCAGCCAGGTGAGGTCAGAGGTGGGTTTGAGAACCAGCCTGTACTTTTACTTCATGGATTCAATGCAGGGTGGGATGAACTTTACCTCCCAAAGAGTCCTGAACAGTGTGCCATCTTCCTCCTTGGTCTCCAGGTCAGAAACATGGTAGCAATGTCCCAAGACCTGTGGGCCCTCCATGTCAGCCCCTCCAGAGAGGTCTAGAATGGGGAGGATTGTCTCCCTGCCCACTGTGGCTGCTACTGTCTTACCTCTGAGATCCGCAGCCCTTCATAAGCTGGCTCCAGAACGCTTTCAGCCTGCCTTCCCTCCACTGCCCTATCAACAACTGTCCTCCAGACCCCATCATGCCTTGGACACCTCTGCACCCACTGCTGCTCTGCCTGGACCCTTCTCCCTCCCCCTCCCCCACTTGACACACACCTCATCTTTTTAGCCTTAACTCAAAGCTCTTCTCTGGGAAGCCAGACTATCCAGCTGTCACACAATATAGCCACAGCATGGTGGGTGGTCACTGGACCAGGCGCTCCTGGAAGAGCCGTGCAGTTTGAAGCCCTGGTGCCTACACTGGGCAGATCCTCAGTAAAAGCAAGAGGATGTAGGTGCCACTGTAATATTTCCTGAGATCGAGTTCCCATGACAACCCCCCCGCCCCCCCTGCAGAGAGGTCAAACCCACCACCTAGAGGGTTGTGGAGATGCAAAGGTGACAGAGCAGGTTAGAGGCCTAGAACCTTCTTTGGTTGTGGAGACCCTGGTTCTCTGGCTGCCTCCTCCCGAGGCCACCACCTTCCCTTCTAAATGTTGTCTTGCTGGACCTGCCATCAAAGTGCCCTGTCTTCTCCCAGCCAAGCTCAAGTCTTCCCAAGACTTGAAGTCTTGGAAGGAAGGTAAGAGGGAATAGCAGTTGGCTGGGGCTGATGAACTCTGATGGTGGCCCCTGACCGAGATGGGATGTTCCTACCACCAAGACACCTGGAGCTGCCACATCCCTGGATCTGCTCAAGCCTCCTGTGGCTCAGAGCTGCCAGCTGCCCGCCTCCAAATCCCCTTTCTGCTAAGCTCCAGGCTTCTGTTGCTGACACGCAAAGACCCCATCTAACACACTTCTTGGCCCAGGGCTCTCTTGAACAAGGCTGCCTTGGGCCACCTAGTACACTTGGGGTCTGCTTCGGCCCTGGACTGCCCCTCCTGAGGCAAGGATGTTTGTCCCGGCCCGGCCAGGACAGACACCCCATGTTCCTTCCCAGAACTCACACCCCACAGCAGCCCAGGCCACCCACAGTCCTGCTCACAGCACCCCTATACTCTCACAGGCAGGGACTGCAGGCAGAGCATGTCTGTCCCTAGGTGTTTCAGAGTGCTCATTCTCCTGCAGGAGGGAGAAGGCAGGCGGAGCCCTGGGTGGGCCAGCGAGGAGCAGCTCTGGGGGACCAGGAAGCAAAGTTTGACTCGCACTCTAGACAAGAGCTGCTGATCCCCAGGCTTCCCCCAAACTGACCCACACTTGCTCTCTCCCACGAGGGAACCCTCTTGGTTCCTTATCCCTGGTCCAATAACCTGGTGGGGGAGCCCCGCAGAAGACACAGACTGTGGGGCCGGTGACAGCACGGGCTTTAATGGCATTAACATCCAGGAGGTCACACATCGGTTCTGGTTGCTAACTTCTTCTGGGCTGAGGCGTGGCTGGGCCGGACCCCTCCAGGCTTTGCCACAGCCTCTGAGAACTCTCCACTCCGCCCCCCTCCCCCTCCCCCCCACTGAGAAAAGACAACATTGCACTGACTGACACACAGCCAGCCAGCCCGGCCTCCCCAGCACACCGTGGGTTCTGTTCGAAGAGGTGGATTATGGGCTTTGGCATCTGCTCGGTGGTGGTCCAGGGCTGGTCCAGGGAATAGTGTTTATCAAATGTTACAAAGGTTCTTTTACAAACTGGGGGTCTGGAAGATTTATTTCTGTGGTTCTGAGACTCTCGTCTCCAATGGCTTCTCTCTCGGAGTTACCAGAAGTCGGGCCTGGATAACGCTGTGTTGGTTGGTTGGTTTCTTTGTAAGGAATGTGTAAGGCATTTTGGTAAGTTAAACAGTAACTTCTTTTTCCACAGAGGAGACTCAGACCGAACTGCCCTCCTTTGAGCTGCTACCGTTCCCCTGTGGACAGAAGGGCAGAGTGAGGTAGAGGCTGGGCCAAGGAACAGGAGATAGCCACCACCCCAGACCCAGGCTGGTGACCCTGCACACTGGGGGTGCTCTACCCACACCTCCCCTCACTGGATTAACACCCCCAGACCACTCCAGTCTCTTCATGGAGCTCAGCACGGATGTCTGAGAAAACAGAGCTGACCCCTGGGGCTGGAGGAGAGCCTGCGGATGCAGGCGAGAGGAGGGGGGGCTGGGTGGAACTCTCGGTCCCGCAGGCCATGGGAGCTGGGCGGGGGCAGGGGCACTGGCAGGGGCCCACGCACACTGGGGCAGGCAGTATGGGTCAGAGGCCCACTTCCCACCAAGAGAGGAACCACGGGGGTGAGGGGTGTCTCGGCAGGGCCTGATGCCCTCCTGCCTGCCCTGGCTCTCCCTCCCAGCAGCTGACCCACCCCCTGCTGTGTGGGCACTGCCCCCTGCGGCGGTGGCCCTGGCTGGGCGGCACTCACTGCTTTGTCCAGCTGCTCCTGCAGCTTCTTCGCTGTGTCCTTCTCCTTGGCCAGCTGCTCCTGGGTCGTCTTCAGAAGCTCCTGCAGCTTGGTGGCTGCCTGGCCCAGGTCACTTGTGAGCTTCTTCTCTTTCTCTAGTCTCTCCTGTGGTCAGAGGATTGGAGGGGGTCAGCCTAACCCTAACCCACAGGGCCACTCTAACCTGTGGTGGCCAGTGGGGGAGCCACCAGACACGTCTCCTGAGCACCTGAAACGTGGCGAGTGTGACTTGTTTTATTTACTTTAAATTGCCACATTTGCCTAGAGGCTGCTATGACTGACCCTGCAGACTCGGTCCCCCGGCCCCTGCAACTAAGGGCCAGACCTGTGGGAGGGGCCTCAAGACCAGCTCCTCCCCACTCCCCTCTGGGCAGGAGCACCTGGAAGCTGGTGCCCAGGGCAGTCTCAGGTGGGGTCGGCACCCTCCGCGTGACCCTCTCAGAGGTGGGAGCGGCCAGAGCCCTGGGCAGATCAGACCTCAGACTCCGCCCCAGGCCCAGCCCCTGGGGTGCCCCCACCCCACCTTCAGTTGCGCAGCCTCCTGCGCATCCGAAGACCCCAGGGGACTGGCAGTGCGGAGTCTCTCCAACTCTTCCTGTAACCGGCATGCAGCGTTCTGAGCCTTGTGAGAGAGAGAAGGGGTGAGGGGAAAAGAGGTGAGGGGAGCAGGGCCTCGGGTAGGGACACCTCACAACCCAACCTGCAAGCAGACCCCCCTACCCCAAGCCCTGCTGGAAAGGGGGGCATTCCAACTCCCACCTGTGGCTGGGCACCTTTAGCAAGACCCACGTGTACCAAGGACTCGGGAACTGCCCCCAGGGGAGGCGGTTGTGCTCCAACCACGCCCCTTCACCCCACACCCCACCCTCCCCCTGCACCTGTCCATCCCTTGGGTCCCTGGTGTGCCCAAGGCCTGACAGCACCACAGTGGCTGGTAGGCAGGAGAAGGACAGGGAGGCCGCCCTCCCTGGACAAGCAAAGGGAGCTCAGAGCTGCCACACAGGGCCTGACCTCCTCAAACTCAGCCGTGAGCTTCTGCCGCTGTGTCTGCTCGCCCTCCAGGATGGCCTCTGTCCGCTCCAGCTGCATTTTCAGCTGCGTGGAAACAGCACAGACATTGGGAACCTGCTTGAAGGGCCCTCTTGGAGCCCAGGACTCCCAGGCGGGCTGAGACCTGGCCTGGCCTTCTAGCTGTGTCTAGCGCTCCTTCAGCCTGCCCTGCCTCTCGCCGGCCAGCAAGGCTTCTGTCTGCCCACAGCAGCCGGCCAAGTGCTCCAGTGCTCAGCCTCTGGGGAGACAGCACTTCACCCCGTGTAGACAGGCTAGCATGGCTGAAAGAGATGCTGACCTCAGGCACCTTCAGCAAGACCCACATGGCAAGGACACCTCAGAGCCACCAACAGGCCCTATCCCACAGCAGCTCCACCTGCAGCCATGCCACTACTTGGTGACAGCCCCTGCTTCCTAGCCAGGGGCCTCGGGGGCAGCCACCAAGGGCTGCAGTGGGAATTGAGTCCCTTCTGTGGCTGAATGCTCCCACTCCCTGCAATGTCCCTGGAACAAAGGTCACCCATACCTGCCCACAGGACACAGACCGGAATCAGGCAGAGCCCTCCCCCCTCCCAGACTCTCTGCCGCAGCCAGCCACTCCCCAGCCCCTCTCTGTGAGTCCTCAGACCTAGGTGGGCCCTCTCTATGCACCTGGGCAAAACTGGGTGTGGGGGGCGGGCAAAGACAGGCAGAGCCCCCGTGATTAGTGAGAAGGGAGACCCTGAGCCTGCACCCCACTTAGGTGGGGGGAGCCCCACAGGTGGTTAGTGACAGATGTCTGGGACGGCTCACCGCCCTAACCTCGATGGGTTCCTGCTCAGCTGGGGGGGTCTCTGGGGGGGCAGCCAGGAACCCCGCTACTTCACCATCCTCTACGTGGCTCTTCATCTCACTCAACTGCTGCCTGACCTGAAACAGGGAGGGCGCGTTGGTGCAAAGACACGGCTGCTGCCACCCACCCACCTCGCGGGCAGGATCCCACTCGGGATGGCTGCTGCCGCCCACCCACCTCGCCACACAGGACCCTGCTCGGGAAGGCTGCTGCTGCCCACCCACCTCGCCGGCAGGATCCCACTCGGGATAGCTGCTGCCACCCACCCACCTTGCTGGCAGGACCTCACTTGGGACGGCTGCTGCCGCCCACCCACCTCACCGACAGGATCCCACTTGGGATAGCTGCTACCACCCACCCACCTCACTGGCAGGACCTTGCTTGGGATGGCTGCTGCTGCCCACACAGGTGGCTCCCAGGGGGCCTGGCTTGGTAACTGTGACCCACCTCCCGTCCCCACCTGCCATGCCAGTGCACTGGGGCAGCAGGGGTCTGAATGTGGTGGTCCCTGGGGAGGCCCACCCATGAGCGTTGGGAGCATGGTCCTGTGGGATCTTCTCACAAAACCAGAGATGTGCACTTCTATCCAAAATCTCCCAATTTCTAAATATTTGGTGACTAATTCAAGATTTTTAAAGGCCTATGCAAGATAAGAGAAGAGGTCCGTGCCCTGAAGCCCCACCCTGGACTAGCACTGGGTCAGTGAGGCCCCACTGCCTCCCCACTGCCCTGTGAGGCTGGGGCTAAACTCTGCCAGGAGCTGGGGCCTGGGGTCAGACACCATGGCTGGGCAGGAAGCTCCTCCAGGTGGGCTGGGATCGTCCAGGGCAGGCCTTGCACACACAGCCCAGGCGTGACCAGACTGGGTTTAGCTGTAGCTTCAGTGAGAAAAAGCCAGAGTTCCAGGAGGGCGAAGGCCCCTGGCCTCCCCAAGGGACGCCCTGGCCCACAGGAAGTACACATCCCCAGACTCCCAGCCCTGAGCGCACACTGCTTGGATAGGGACCACACTGCAGCGGCATGGGAAATCAAGCGTGACCACCCAGGTCCCAGTGGTGACAAGACCAGCTCAGAGTGCCTGGCAAACATGCAAGGAGACCCCCCAAGACTGCACATGGACACACACACCCGTTCTGCCAAGTGGCTTCACCTCGAAGACGAACTACACGCAGACACACACATGTACACCCCCACACCCCACCTGCCCCACAGTGGACAGCTGCACCTACCAGGGCGAGCTCGTCACTTTGCTTCTGGGCTTCGCTCTTGGCTGTGTCCAGCTGAGACTGAGATTCTAACAAGAGTTGCCTCAACTTGGGGAGAAAACAGAGCCAGGTGATGGGGAAAAGGGAGAGAAGAAAGAAGCCAGTTACTGAGTCAGCACTGGCCAGTGCGTCCACTTCACCAAGACCCTGGGAACTACTGCAGGACAGGGCTCCAAGCTGCGCTGGCTGCGTGAAGACCCGGGACGGGCAGCATTCACTGCACGCGTCTCGTCCCAGGCCTTCACAAAATGGTTACAGACTGTCTCCTGCATCTAAATATTTGGCATCTAATTCAAGATCTTTAAAGGCCTATGCGGGACAAAGAGAACAGGTTAAACCAACACTGGGGGCTTCAAGTTTGTGCTTTCTGCTTCTAAGCAGTAAGAAAAATATCACTGATTTAAATCCATACCCCCCAGACATGGTGTCACTGAGCCAGAAGTGTCCCGCTAAGGACACATGGAGTGTTTCTCTCGGTGCAAGGCTGCGTCTTTGAGGTCAGCCCCAGTACACCCCCTGCTCCGCTCCGACAGCCCCAAGCCAGGGCTCACTGGGCTGGGGGTCTGCGCAGACCACGGGGCTTAGGTGGGCACACTCACCCCTGCCACCTCCTTGGCATAGCTCTGGCACTCGGCGCTGGCTGCTGCCATGTGCTTTTCCAGTTCTGCCTCCAAATGTGAGGTGTGCTCCCGCACCTGGAGAGACACACACAAGCCCACATGCACACGCATACACATCTGCACCTTCTATGTAGCTAGCAGGGCACTAAACCCCAGGGAACAGGGTGAGGGGGGTGTCAAGTCTAGCCTGGCCCTGGGATAAGCAAGGCCTGGGAGGAGGCCCACTGGCTACTGGGGAAACTGAGGCCAACAAGAAAGCAGTCATGCCAAGAGACCCCTTAATGCCAATGATACCCAGAACATAAGCACTGCCCAGGCTGCTACGTCCTCAGATCTTGGTGAGGGAAGATCCTCCTCCTTCAAGGTCAGAGCTGACTGCAGAGTCTGAACATGGCAGGGTGGGGTCTGAGCCCCTTCCACACTCAGACAGCACAGACAGCAACCACCGTGTGTGAGGTGGGGCCCACCCTGGCCAGCCAGGCCCAGGTGATCTGTGTGGGCCCATGGTGTGTCTCAGGCCAGGCTGAAGTGATATGAGCCTCTCACTGAGGAGAAACAGGCCAGATAGGGTCACCTGGTCTGGTGGATAACAGCCTCATCCTAAGGGGCCCATAAAGGGAAGTAAACGGCTCTGGAACAAGGCATGTTTCAGGGACTCCAGGGACAGAAGAGGCAGCTGAGCGGAGCCCTGCACGCACCTGGTCAGAACTCTCCAGCTCTCCTCTCAGCCGCTCTACGATCTCTTCGAGATGCTTCACTGTGACACGGGACTGGAAGCGAGAGGGTCCACGAAAAGTCAGCCAGGAGGGCCACGGCGTCTCTTCAGAGGCTGCTCTGGGCTCAGGACTCAGGCACACAGCAGGAGAGCCGGCCTCCTTCTCCCCCAGCCATGGCCACCTTGTACCCACCTGGCCTCCATGGCCTTCCGTGGATGTGGACAAGTATGAGACTGGGAGCCAGGCCGAGGACAGCTCAGCTGTCACCCTGCAGCCACCCTTCATGTGGATCATAGAAACTCACCACCGGGCCCCACACCTCACAAGTGACCTGGGTGGTGCTGCATGCTTCCCCTGGATTGCAGGGCGTGTGGGCCCAGCTGTCTGTCTCACCGAGTTATACTTGAGCTCTTAGGGAAAGGGTGGAAGACACGCCCCCTGTGCCCCAGCGTGACGCATGGATCGCTGGGCCTGGGCTGGGGGTGGGGGGTGCTCCGGGTGCTGAGGGCCCGGGCTGGGGGTCGGAGGGGTGCTCGGGGTGCCAAGGACCTGAGCAGCTGCCATACCTTCTGCAGCTCCTCCTCCATGGTGCTGACTCTGGCTTTCCACACTTGCTCCTCCTCTTCGACGCTCTTCTGCAGGTCCTTGAGCATGCCCTCCTGCAGACGGCCGGGGCGTGAGGCGGGCACCAAGAGAGGGCCGTTGGCCAGGGCCTGGAGGTGCCAGCCTGCTCCCTCCCATGCCCAGCCCACTCAGTCCCCACCCTGCCACCTCCTCTGTGGGGACCCCACGGCTGCCAGTTACATGAGATCAAATGTGGCCACAGTCCAACAGTAGGGGGTGGGGGGGGTGGGGAGGGTGCTGTGGCCTGTGTGCCATGCTGGCTTCAGGGACTATATGGGTATGTGACTGAATGAAGCCAGCAGGACTCCTGTAACCGCTAGGCTATGCCTCTAGAATGAGGCCCGCAGGAAGGGTGGCCAGGGTTTGGGAGGGCTGGCCTCGCTTGCTCTTGGGGTCACGGGACAGGGTTCTGTCCAGCAGTCAGCCAAACACTCATAACTTCCTCCCAGGAGCGATTAACTCCTTCCAACCAAGCGTCTCCTCCCCAGGCCAGCCCCAAACCTTGACTCATCTCCCTCCACAGCTTAGTGGCCATGGAGGCCTCGCCTTGGAGAGCCTTGACCCACCCCTCATCACTCAGCTGAAGAAATGGGACCCAGAGAGGGGGAGACCTGCCCTCCGCTGCCTCCACCTACTGGGTCCCGAACGTCCCCTCCCCACAGCCCCAGCTGCCCTGCTCACCGTCTCGGCCAGGATGGTGCGGTACTGGTCACACTCGGCCTGCAAGGTGCTCTGGGCTTCCTCCGCCTCCTGCAGCCTGGACGCCGGGTCCTGGGCAGAAGGAAGAGCAGGTCTGTTAGCCCCACCAGGCGTTCTCCTGGCTGCGGTGAGGGGACTGGGGCCCCCCACCTGCTCACCGGCGAAGGCTCCGTGGGCGCCGGCGGCTGCTTCCGCAGTTCGGAGCCTTTCTCCTGGAGCTCCTGCAGCCACTCGGTGTAATTCTGCAACAGAAGAGGGGAGGTAGGGCCTGGTGGTGCTGCCTGTGAAGGTTTGGGGTGCACGGGGGTGGGGGTGGAGTCTTCCTCTCTTACCTGGTGCGATATGTCAGAGAGCTCCGGCAGGAGGGACAGCAAGGCCTCTCTGGTCTGCGTCTCAATCAGGCGGAGCTGCTGCTCGGACTCCTCCTGTGGGCAGAAGGGGACAGGCGCTGAGCGCGGCGAGGGGGACAACTGGGGAGTGTAGTGAGGACACCCGAGGGGTGTGTATCTGTGCCTTTGTCTTCCTCCAGGAAGACCATGGCCTCAGTGTTTCCAGCAAAACAGGAGCCAAACACAGAGGAGACAACAAGGTGGCTTGTGGGCAGAGCAGGGTGTTTAACACCAGCCCGTGCTCGGCACCCCTCAACAGACCAAGCTCTCTTGAGGGTAACGCGGCAGCCCCTGATGGCAGGGACACCTCCGCCTGCTCAGCTGCTCAGGCTCAGTTCGTGCTCATTTTCCAAGTGTGTGTGCATGTGTGTGTGGAGGCAGGCAGGATCCAAGACTGGGCAAGAGGAACGGGTGGGAAGGAGGTGGGGGGCAGTCAGGAGGCCCCAAACACTGGAAAGCAGAGTTGAGGTGGGGGTGGTTGTAAAGGTAGAGAAGAGGCGTGTCTGCCAGCAGCCACCAGCCTCAGAGGTTTCTCTCCAGCGACCCGGGAGAGGATCAACATTTCCACTTTGTAGATGGCAAAACTGGCTAAGTGAGGCTCAGGGACTTTGTCTGGGGCCCGGGGATCACCCTGGCACTGGAGCCCAGCAGTCCTCCTGAGAAGTGCTGGCAGCTCCTACCCAGCACAAACAGGAGAAAAAGAATGACCGACCAAGCTACACAGCAAGGCCCAGAGCCAGGCTGGCACTGGGGAGGCCACCGAGGGTTCTGGCTAGGGTGTTTTTGAACAACCTGTCTCTTGCAGGCCAAAGCTGCTGCATCCACAGCCATGACCCGACCATGTCTGTGAGCGGGACTAGGAACTCTAACGGGGCAGAGCTGCTGGAGGTGATGGCGTTCTGGACCCAGCGCTATGGAGAACAGGCGACAGACAACACCCAGCATGGCCACCGCACACACATGTTCTGGACTCCCGTCTGCGAAGTGCCCTAACATGCCTGGTCGTCCAGACAGTGCCCAGGGACCGTGACCTTGTGAGAGTCAAAGGCAAGAGCTGGAAGACCCTGAGGCCAGCTCCTGTCTGTATGGCTGCGTGACTGTGAACAAGGCAGGTGATGACTCCAGTCACAGCTTCTTTGTGTGCCACAGAAAGGCCAGAACATCCATGAGGTCCTCCTAGGGCTCACAGCCCAAGCTTCTAGCAGCTCTGATCTGAGGCCAGTCCTCCACCCTGCTTCATCTTGGGGTCCTCATCTGATGAAACTCTCCCGCTTCCTGGGAGTGTTCATTAAGATCACCACAAGGCTCATGCCTTGGGGACCCAGACATTCTGTAAGAGCGAGGCTGGGGGGATGGGGCTGGCTGCCAGGGGCATTCTACAAGGGACGGAGACCAGCGGGCGAGGCTCCCAGGGCCAGAAGTCCCAGCACGGCTCAGCTGGCCACCTGCTTGGGTCTTGAAGCCGCTGCTTGGGAGGCTGGAGCAGTGCCTTCCAGAGGACTGTGCAGGCCATGTCCCCACCCAAGCCTCAGCACTGGCCCCTACCGAGGCTCCAGGGCAATGTGGACACCCTAAGGAACGGAGACCTCCCCGCACCTCAGGCTAATGTGGCACTGACTCCTGAGGGCTCCCTAGGAAAAATGTCTTCTTCTGTGACTTATTTTAAAGATAAATCACAGAACACACTGGGCTGAGCCTGCATGACTCTAGAGGGCCTGAGAAAGCAGCAGGACCGCTCAGACAAGACACCACGGGAGCAAAGCGATGATAACAGCCCAATCAAGGACTCACTCAAACGTCAGGCAGCAGGGGGCCCTCTGCCCAGAGGCCGCGTGCAACTCTGCTCCCTGGTGGCAGAGGCCAGCGGAGCAACTGCAATCCAGTGTGCATCCTCCGGCCTCATGGTAAGGAAAAGTGGAAGGAAAGGAGGGAAGGAGGGAGGGAAGGAATCAAGGAGGAGGGCACGCAGGAGTCCCAGGGTTGCTCTGGGTGCCAGTCACCCCCACTCCGTCGACGGACTGCTCTGAGATGTCAGAGCAGGTATGTCTGGGGATTGAGCAGGATGGCTGACCTTGGCCTGGGTCAGGGAGCACAGCTTCTCCTCACAGGCCCTCTCGGCCGCAGACACTGCCTCCATAGCCTTCCAGTTCTTCTCCCGGAGCTCCTGGGGGAAGGGCAGGTGTGGGGAGCATCAGCGGCCACATGGGCTACATGGTCCCACAAGCTGCACCCCAACTGGGCACTGCCTGACCCATTCGGAACCCCAAAGCAGACCCGATGCTAAGGGACAAAATGCCCTCTCCCTTGGCCCATCCCATCAGCTTGTGGCCTCTCCCAAGCAGCACCTCACACCAGGCCATGGCAGCCCCACCCGACACGAGGCAGTCAGGGCACACGGTGTGAAGAGGCAAGCCCCTCAGAGAGACTGCAGGGCGAGGCAGGGGGAGGAGGTCAGCCTGTCCCCTGGACCTCAGCCCTGCTGGGGCCACCAGGGCCAAGTGGACCCGCTCGGCCGGCAAAGCGCCCTTCCTGACTAGTTTGGGGCAGGTTTCAGAGAAAAGGTTCTTTGGGCTGTTCCCTCCTGCCCCCAGCCTCTGCCTAGTCCCTTCCCGCCAGACGCCCTCTGCAGGAGCCCGTCCCGGACACTCACGTTGTTCTTCACCTTCTGCTGTTCCACAGTTTCTCTGAGCTCAGTGGCCTCCTTTTCCAGCAACGACACTTGGGACTCCAGCTCCTGGAGGCTGATGGGAAACAGTGGGTTCACTGCCCTGGTCCTGAGGCCTCACACCCTGCCCCCCCGGCCCCTGCCCAGCTTCTCTATCTCAGGTGTTCCCCTTCCTCTGCCCATGGTTCCTCCCCTGGCCCGAGGCCCCAACCCAGCAAGGATCACCCATGCAGAGGGAGCAGCACCAGGCCCCCGACCCCCAGACCACGTCCCCTAGGGCCTGCAGCCCAGTTCCACCTGGAGTGCACAAGCCGAGCAAGAGGCAGCTCGCTCCAGCCGCACATCAGTCCTGAGTGCCAGGGGCCGCGGTGCAGAACCCAGAGGCTGCTGGGACCAGGAGGGGCTGAAGAGGCCCCGGTGAGTAGTGCAAGATGCGCCCCGGGCAGCAGTGCTTTCCACACGCTCTTTCCTCCCGTGCACTGAGCCTGCCACCTGGTGAGCTGTACCCACTAGACCTGGTCCTGCCCCGTCGCCACAGGACATGTAGGCTGCCCTCTCTCTGTGGCTCTGCTGACCCTCAGAAGACCCCCCTCTGCAGCAAGCTAGGACTTATCACAGCGCTGCCACCCACACACTTTGAGACTCATAGCAGCCACCTGGGTCACCAACTTCTCACCAGTGGGAAGGCAGGCCATCCTCTGCCCAAAACCAAGCTCTTCTAAGACCCATGGGCTTCTCTCTCCTTTCAGTCCCCTGGGGTGTGAGTGTGAAGGACCAGCGGAGGGGAACCCAGCACCGTGGGACCAGCGAGATGTTGGCCCTAACCTTCCTGTTTCTTTCCAGGTCCAAGCCCTGTGGGTGGGTCCACCCTCATCCAGAAAGGGAGGGGGTGACATTAGAACTGCACCAGCTCTTCTGAGGAAAAGCTTCCAGCGGGCACTTTAATGTGTCCCACCTTCTATGTTAGATGGGGAGGGCCCCAGGGACACATGAAATCTAACGTCCAGAGCTGGCCAGTGTTGATGTGAATCAAAGCAGCCGGAGCCATTCTGAGGTGCGGAAAAGAAACCCCTGGCCCAGAGGCGGGATGCTCTGTGGGGTGAGGCAGAGGGTGAGGGGGTGCCATCAGCACAGGGAGGCACGAGGCTCTGGCTGCTCACCCTGCCAGCCAGCCTGCATGTGCCCACACGTACACCCCCATCCACCCACCCATCTGACGTCTTTAAACTGCAGGTGGTGACACATCATTGGGTCAGGAAATCAGTTTAGTGGGGTACCAGCACCTCTCTTAAGCGAAAAACAAGACCAAAGGAAACAGCAGAATCACAGGTAGGAAAGGTAAGTTTGGCTTGTAAAACTCTCTTCAGTTATGTGTGTTGAATCCATGTTGCATTTCCTATCGGAAGCCGCAGCCAAAGCTTTGCGGAAAGCCTCACTGGCTCACTGACCCTGCCGTGGCACTGTCGGCGAAGCCACCACACAGCCTCAGTTTGACCCCAAATGCATCTTGCACTTGGCCTGGAAGACAGCTGTTCGTCTTGGACCCACAGATCTTGCCCCCCAAAGCCCTGCTGTAAGCCCTCATGAGTGCCACCTCACGACTTGCACCCAAGCTCCCCCAAGCCCCCCGCACCCCATTATATGCAACAACCTGTCTCCAGCCAGCAATCCCTAGAGCAGGCCCCAGGGGAACAAAACCTGAGGAAGAAGAGAGCCAAGGCGGCTGGAGCAGAGGCCTGATTCTAGAATTTCTGGGGCCAGCTTTCAAGTCTCCAGAACCGAAGGCATGACCTAGCCTGGACACAACTTTCAGAAACTTGTTTAGGAAGGAAATAAAAACCAAATTTCACCAGACACATCTGCATGAGGCAAAAGAGTAAAACTGCGCCTCTTAGGATGATACTCAGTGAGCCACTAACTCACTGTGTGGCCTAAGATCTTGTCTTAAAATACAAGAGCAGAAATCCAAACAAGCACAACGTCCCTGCCCCACAACCACCACCACTAGGAACCAAGTCAGCCCGAGCTCTCCGGACAAAAGTGTGCTTGGGGCAGAAATCCAGCAGCGGGGCTGGGCTGTGTCTTCCCTGAGATCTGCTGGGCCTGTGGGAGGCTGGTTTCCCTCCCAGCCCCCAAGCCCAGGGCCAGATGCCGGAGACAACAGAACTGAGGTGGGGCTGCACCGGATGAGAAGCGCGCCGAGGTGACTTACCACAGTGGCTGCCAAGGCGAGGGAGCTGGGTCAGCTGGACAACGGGGACATGTCCCGCCATCCGCACAGGGTGGAGGACATCCCCCAAGCTCACCTCCTCCCCCGGGGCTGGCTCTATGGACTCTCGGCCTCATGGGCACCTGCTCCTGGTTAACGATCCCAAGGACTCTGGCCAGACTTGTGTTCCCCGCCCAGGTGCCGGCCCCAGCCCTCAGGCAGAGAAATAGTCCCTGACCACACCCAGCTGGGGCCTGCTGACCCTGAGGGGGCAAGGTCTGGCCACAGGACAGTCACCTCATGGATACAGAACACAACCCTGCCATGTCCTAGATCTGTGGTCCAGCAAAAGGCGTAGGCTACATACAAGGTCCTTGATTCTGGGTTTTGTGACAATCTTTCCTATTTGATTTACTGACCTAAGTCCCTAAAATCCCTTGCCTTCAGTCCTACCTGACAAACACGTAGAAACCTTATGACCAGCCAAGCCTTCCCCACTGAAAGCGAGTGGACTGCAACCTCCTCAGCACACTAAGGCACCTTCCTCCACTCCTACAGGTGAGTCCTGGCTGCCCTCACTCCTGCCAGGCCACCCTGCCCTCTTGTCACTGGAGGAAGGGAGACAGAAGGGACCTCTGACACAGGCCCTTCCCCGGGGGACTGGCACTCATTGATGGCCGTGCATGAAGCGACCTCGCCTCGCCAGACTTACCGGGCGTGCTGCTGGTCGGCCTCCGCTTGGCTGGCCTGGAACAGAGACAGAGAGCTCACTCACTCTTCACCACCCCGTGCCATACAGTGGGTGGGGGGCGTGGATGGGGCCCTCCCTTTCCTCCTGTCAACCTTGGAGAAGGCCCAGCTGACCTGGGTGTCGCGGGCCTGGCCGGCCTCCAGCAGGGCCTCGATGGACCGGATCCTCTCAGTGAGCTGCGTGTTCTCAGCCCTGGCCTCCACGAGCTGCCCCTGGAGGCCGCCCAGCTCCTCACACTTGCTCTTCACCTCAGCTTCTAAGGACTGCAGCTTGCTGCACAGCTCTGCCGTAGGAGGAGGGAGATGAGAGAGGGAGACCAGAGACAGTGAGAGACACCAAGAGAGAGGCCGGGGCTGCACGCCCTGCTCCCTGTGCCTGCTTGTGTGCTGGGGATGTTGGATACACCTCTGACTGGGCTTATCATCCCCGGCTCCACACTCCAGGACCCATTCAGGTAGAATGAAGTGCCTTCTACTCCCCTATGGAAAACCACAGAATGGATCTGAGTTGAAGTTTCTAAGGATTCTTTCTCCAGGAGACCTTGCTCACAGTGCGCACCAAGCCAGGAGTGACAGGACCAGAAATTCTCCAGGGAGTGACTGCCTGCCGATCCCACCGGCCCTGCTTTCTCTGGCTGGCTCCTGCTCCCCATCTCCAACCTTGCAGTGTCCAGATTCCCCTCCTTCCAGGTGAGCTCAGACAGTCCTGTTGCTCTAAATGTTATCCCATGTTTACGGCTCTGCAGCCGGCCTGCCCTCCCAGTGACACTAACTAGGCAGCTCGGCCTGAGTGCCCAGGCCCCTCGCCCTGCATGCCCTCGCCGCCTGAGCTGCTGGCAAGGCCTGCTGGCTCCACATCCCACCTCCTCCCCACTTACACCTCATGGTCACCTGGGCCAAGCCCCATCACCCCCTTTGGCCTGGACAAGGGGCTCCTCCCTAGTCTCCTGGTGACACCTGCCCTACAGTCCTCTCTCCACACAGTGCCAGTGTCCGAAGTGCCAATCAGATGGCCTCATCCACTGTCCCAAGCCCTCTGGTCACTTCCTGGCACACTCACACCACTCCCAGGCCTGCCCACCTGGCCCTCTCATGCAGTCATACCAAGGTCATCATCTCAGGGCCCTGCACCGGCCACCCCTACTCCCCTGGTCCTTGGTGACTGCAGGGCTAGCTCGTCCTGTCACCCAGAGCTCAGCTTAGACCCCCTCCTGCCCCAGTGAGTCCTCTTTGACCACCAATCTAAAGCCACACCTGGCCCTCTGGACCCGGGGTCAGCCAACTACGCCCTGCGGGCCAAACTGCCCCTCAGCCTGCTTTAGTAAACGGAGCTTTACTGGAACAGGGCCAGGCCCATCCGCTTCCACATTGTGTGGCTGCTTCTGCACTGCAGTGGCAGAGGGGAGCACTTGTGAAGACACTGTGTGGCCCATGAAGCCAAAAATACAGCCTGCCTGCTTTGCACAGAAGCAGTCGTCACCCCTGCTCTAGGTCATGTAGGCTATTCTGTGTGGGGTACAGCGCCATGTGACACTGTTGTTGCAGGTTTATCTGACCACGCCAGTATCCCTTGTAGAGGGTGGCCCTGCCGCACTGCTTCGTCCTGCAAGTCCTTGATGCCCGTGACTGTGCCCAGCACGAGTCACTCAGGATCCAGGTGCACACTGGACGTGCAGCTGTCACTGGCCTGTCTTCGCCCACTCTCCCCATCATGAAGCAGGCCCGTGCACACAGGAAGACCACGGCCTTCCAAACCCTGGTGTGGCCTCCGAGTAGATCGAGACGGGAGAGCCAGGAAGGCCGAAGCATGCAGCACTAAGCGGCCAGTGATGGCCTCAGGAGACTGACCCTGGCTCACCCAGCAGCCACGAGGGCTTGGAGGGTGGAGGGCGCTTGTGGGGAGTCTCAGGGGGTGGCGCCTTCCACTTCTCCACACCCAGTCCTCGGCTACAGGGTTCAGTTCCCTCCTCGCCAACTCCCTCACAGGAGCAGGTTCTGGGGACAGGGTGGTGCCCGGACCCAGCACCAGCCTACCCATGGGGCCCAGAGTGAGGCGCCCGAGAAGCATGCTCTCACCCTCCATCTGCTGCTGCTGCTCCTGGGCCTTCTCCACGTCCGCCTGGAGGCTGGCATGGCTGGTCTGGGAGCGGCACAGCTCCCGGCTGACCTCATCCAGGCGCTTCTGCAGGGCCTCCTCACTGTCCTTGTGTGATGCCTGCAGGGGAGGGGACGAGCCGTGAGGACACAGAGGGCCAGCCTCATCAGCTCTGCCACTGAGCAGGGCACAGGCTCCATATGGCCACCCCATGCCCAGGAGAGCTGCGAGCTCTTGGTTTGTCTGTTCAAGAGAGAACGTCCTTCTTTAACACTCGAGTCTGCAGCAAACTTGGTCCCAGTCAGCACCCTTCCAATGAGTGAAGGTGGAGGCAAGGGACCCGCAATCCCGTTTTTGTTTCCCCAGCAGTCCCTCGGTCCCTTTCCCAGCAGGAAGGCTGGGCCTGGCAGGGTCCTCCTGCCTGTGCGCTACCGTTTAGACACACACGGGCACTGCCCACAATTAAGATCATTCCAAGTGGACAGCTTTCTGACTTGGTTTTTAATATCACATTGAACCACATGAAACTGCCGGTTGTCAGCCATTTTTGGCCTACAAAAGTAGCAATTTGGTATGGTTCGGCCTACTATTTTGCAAAGACACTTTCACACGAGTATGAATAGGTCGCCTTGTTCTCGTGATGGCCACAAAGCCGTGTGGAGGTGGCACACTGGGGGGGTGGCTGTCCTGGATCTTTGACAGTCTCAACTCCGGCTCCAGTGAGCACCCTGGTATACCTAACACTGGGCTCCGGGGCAGCACTGCCAGGTCCAGCCTCAGACTGTGGCCAGCACCCCAACAGATTCAGTTCTCACTGTTTCTGTAGGAAGCTTGTCTGGGGCAGGGCTGGGTAAGATGGGACACACACCCACAGAGGCCACCTCTCAGCCCATTTAACACACTGCTGTTACCCACACCCCAACTTTTACTCCCTTTTAGGGGAACAGCTTCTCAAGGAAAATGACAGAGACATAGGCCCCCGACCCGACGGGGGGCACCACTCTCCACCAGGCTGTGCAGACTTGCGCCTGGTTGATTGTGCCCCCGAAGGCCACTGTGGCAGAGGTAGGGCTGGGACGGCAGGGCTGTGAGGCCAGGGATATCTCACCAGGCCATGGGGTGAGTGCTGCACAGCAGAAAATTCTGGGCAGCCTGAGGGTGAGTGACGCTTTCTGCATTACAACGTGGCAGAGCGCCAGTTTAAACTCCAAGAGGGGAAAGGAAACAAGGATGGGGTAATGGCCGCCCCAAAGGCACCCGTGTCCCCCTCCAGCTCCAGCACCCCCCACAGCAACGAAGTAAATGGGGTGGAGACATCCGCAACTGGAAACACAACCACCAGCTGTTCCTTGTTCTCTCTCCTTCCTTTCACTCAGACTCCAAGGAGCCAACTACTGCATGCATCTCTCCATCCACTACTGACATTAATGAGAACACTGTTCCATCAACAAGCAAACAAAAAAGCAAAAGCCCACTTGTATTTAGAACCAGAAACTTAAAAAAAGAAGCCTTTACTGGAAGGCAAGTGCATGCATCTTGGGACAAGGAGATGATGATTCTCTGTCTGGGAGAGCGTGACAAGCACGAGCCAGCCACACTGGACAACCCCAGGACAAGGCCTGTGCTACATGGACCAGCGGACCATATAAAGCCACACCGGACAACCCCAGGACCAGGCCTGTGCTACGTAGACCAGCAGACCGTATAAAGCCACACCGGACAACCCCAGGGCCAGGACTGTGCTACGGAGACCAGCAGACCGTATAAAGCCACACCGGACAACCCCAGGACCAGGCCT